AAAGTTTATTTCTCCCATGAGCAAAAGAGACAGAGGAAGAGAGCACCCAGCATGGCTGCCAGCTCAGGGTCCCCTCCCAGCCTCAGGGGAGTCCCCAGACGCTGGCCCGAGCCCCCCAGTGTAGAGCAGCCTCTCACAGCATCTGTCTCTGTGGGCACCCCCTCAGAACCTTCTGTCTCAACCTCCCCAGGCAGGGCACGGGCGCCAAGGGGTATGGCCGTGGGACGCCCTGGGGTCCGGTGTGGTGGTGCAGGTGCTGGTCTCCACACCTCTGCAGCGGGATGCCTGGAAGGCCGGCCTCACAGAGCCGAGGTCTGCACACATGGGCACTCGGACACAAGAGACTTTGCAGCCACACGTGTCGGCCTCGAGGCCCAGGCCCCGGAGGTGGTGCAAGTACCCTTCCTGGGGTCCAGGGGCGGGTCAGGGGTGGGCAGGCCCCCCCAGGGGCCGGTGGAAAGAGCAGAGGGACAATCAGCACCCCCTCTCTGTGCCCCCGCCAGCCCTGCTGAGGCCGGGACACGCAGTAGGCGGCACGCTCCCAGACCCTGACGGCAGGAGCCCGTGCCAAGGCCCAGACTTCGTGGCACGGCCCTGGCAAGGCCCAGCTGCAGTCTCAGACGACAGTGTGGGTCCGATCAGCAGGACTGGACCGGGCTCCCTGCCCACCAGGCGGCCTGTGGGGACAAAGGGCCTGGGCTGCCTTTGTCAGCAGCAAGGACCAGCAAGCCAGCTGGCCCGGTTCACCCAGGGCTTGCGAGCTTCAGGAGGGGCCTCGGAGTTGGGGCCTTGGGCCTCGCCATCCCCTCTACCACCAGCACAAGGTTGGCACACGCCACCATGCTGGCACTTCTTTGGTCTTTTCTCCCAGAGGCCCTGCAGTGGGGACCCTCAGGGGCAGATGGCCAGTGAGCAGAGAGGCTGCTGCCACCCGCCCTGCCTCCCTACCGCTTTACGAGGCCACCAGGGCCGTGGAGAGACCAGGGAGATAGGGCCACAGGGAGGCACGGCCACGGGGAGGCAGGGCCTCGGGGAGGCAGGGCCTCGGGGAGGCAGGGCCACGGGGAGGCAGGGCCTCGGGGAGGCAGGGCCTCGGGGAGGCAGGGCCACGGGGAGGCAGGGCCTCGGGGAAGCAGGGCCACGGGGAAGCCAGGGCCTCTCCTTCCCCAGATCTGCCGGTCTGCCCTCACCAAGCCTCAGCTCCAGGGCCCCTTACAGCACCCAGATCTGGGACTCCCTTGCATGAGGACCAGACGGAGCAGAGGTGGGCAGTACCAGGCCAGCGGCCCAGGCGCCCCTTCCAGTCCCTCCACTCCTGCAAAGAAGCTGGGCCAGGCCTGACCCCGCCTCCCAAGGGTCCCCTCTGCCCCACCGCCTCCTCACAGGCCTGTCCAGCCTCTGTGTGTGGATGTGGCCCTGAGCTGTGACCAGGGCTGCATCTCTGGCTCCCCGCCTGCCACCCTGCCTGCCCACCCCAGGACCGCCTGGCCCCCGCGTCTGCACCCTGTCCACGGGACGGCTGAGAGGCATCTCCATGCTCCTGCCCACAGAGCCCAGGGCCTCGGGCCATCAGCCCACACACGCACGCCCTCCACGCAGGCCCCACCGGGGCACTCCTAGTTCCCAGCACCTGTGCCCCGAGGCCCGAGTCGGGAGGGGCAGATGCAGCCTGGAGCCAGAGACCCATGGGTGCGCACTGCTGCGTGAGGTGGGGTCCCTCACGTCGGCACAGTCGGTGCCACCCGGGCACAGCCAGGACAGGGACCAGAGTGCTGGGCTGGCCTCCTCTCCAAGCCTCAGCTTTCTGTTCTGGAAGAACAGTGAGAAGACGGCTCTCCAGTGCAGCGTAAGGGTTAGGGACACTGGCATCAACTGCACAGCTCAGGCCACAGGAACAGGGCAAAGGGGACGCAGCCCAGGGAGGACGAGGCTGGCGGGAGGGCGGGAGCCCAGTGCACTCCCCAGAGGGTCACCGCCCTGACCGCCCGCAGGCCTGCCCCCGATGGAGAGGGTGATAAGGTGATAAGTGTAGGGACAGTGACCCTGGGGGCCAGGGAGTGAACCTTGTCCCCGTGGCCTGGAGGCCCGTCACAGAGGGACGGCAGGCACTGCCATCGGCCACATCATGGCGAGCCCGTGTCGCCTGGTCCTGCTCAGCGTCTCCCTGGCCGGCCTCCTGCTGCCTGGGGGGAGCGGTGAGTGCCCCTGCCCACTCAGAGAGCCCAGGAGCAGGGTGGGCAGGGCCGACTGGGAACAGACAGTGCCCTGGCCCTGCCAGGCTGGCCCAGGGGGCTGGGGTGTCTCCTTGGCCAGGGGACCTTATAGCCACCTCCCTGGGGTCAGTATCAGGTGGGAATCAGAGGTGACAGAGAACATGCACAGGACAGAGACAGAGACAAGGGGGGGGTGAGAGAGTGCACACCAAGGAGACCGAGAAGGCGAGAGGGAGACGGAGAGAAGGAGGAAGCCCAGCTGCCCAGAATGGTGGTCTGGGAGAGGGAGAGCGGAGGGCCAGGGCAGGACTACAGGGGCCGGCCACTGGGGACCCTGGACCTGCGCAGAAGGAACGCCCCGGGGGTAGGGGCAGGGCCGCAGGAGAGGAGGCCCCCTGGTCGCGGGGGTACTCCACCCCAGGCCTCGGTGCACCCGCGGGGGGTGGGCAGAGCGGACAGGTACCCCAGGCCTCAGTGCACCCGCGGGGGGTGGGCAGAGCGGACAGGGCTCCTTGCTCTAGAGGGAGACCACCAGGGCCAGATCAGGGAAGGCCAGAGGGGTGACGGGGAGGGGCCGTCGGGAGCAGCTGTCAAGGCCTGGGCATGTGGCCCGGGTTGTGAGGTGCAAGCCAGAGACCAGGACGGTCAGAGGAGTGGAGAGGCGAGAGGCCGCGGCCGGCCAGCACTATGGCACCACG